AGTCTCCTGCTGCCGCTACTACCAGTTTGCCTGATCTGGGTTGAACCAGGAACAACTCACCTCTGTGGCAGCCATAAGACACGGTGCGATCAATATCAGGGGTGGGGTTGGGGGAGGTGCTGCAGTCAAATGGTCTCAGGTGCTTGTTAGGAGAAGGAAGGGGAGAGGATGGAAGCTCCTAGACACCATATGTTGTTCCTGTATTCATTATTCTGTTTGCTTGGGACTCTGAAATTGCTTTTTGTGCATTTTTTTTTTCAAATAAAAGTATGCTATTGGTTTTTTTAATGCTGTTCTGAATCATGCCTATACAAACTGCTTTAACAAACAAAAAATAATAATAAATACGGACATAGTCTATTTGTGATAATATATCCTTTTCCAGAGCTATATTGTATTTATAAAAAATGGCAACTAAGGAGATTGAATGCTCGAAGCAAAATCTGTCACTCATCCATTCACTTATAAAAATCATCAACTGACAATTTTGTGACATGCATTATTCTTACTCTGCACATTATTTGGCTTGTACAAATGCTTTGGACATATTGAGACCTAAGGGTTAAGAGAAAGTTGAGAAATGATGATAAGGGTCATGTAGAAATTTAATTAATTTATAATCAAAATAAAAAGTACTATCAAAAATGTTGCACTGGAAGCTGAATTTGTGTCATGAAATTGCAAAGCTGGAAGGAATCTGCAGGCTACATAATGCCAATTCTAAAACTGATCTAGACTTTATCCCACCTTTTTCAGTGGTGTCACTTGATTAAGGTACATGGAACTTTGGAGTCTTTTGATACTTATTTGGGAGTAGGTTCAGTGACTTTATGGATAACCCAGAGTCTCATGAGTACTTAGGTTTTCTATTCATCGAGCAGTGCAGTTTAACAAAATAAAAATAAGCAAAACCAAAAGAATGGAACAAAATGTGTTATATAGAGTATAGGAGAGACTGACTGACTTCCTAGTAATGCCACTTACATCTTTGAGGACACAGTCAAAAGTCTTAGAGTTTCCAAAGGGCTATATAGGGTGATATTTCTGATCCTGCATTTTCCTGTTGAGATTGCTTATTAACATCAGCAGAAAACTGAAAAAGTACAATATATACAGTATATGCATACATATGCAAAACACACATACAGGTCAAACTGAAGAATAGATGTCATATAATATTCACTAAAATATAGTATATTTCATTGATTTGTTCTATGCTGTCTTGTGATGGTTTACAGAATATTATAGGATATTGCTGCAGATTTTCAATACATTTTATTATATGCATTATATCCATCTATTTATCAATGAATTTATTCCAGTAGTGATTAACATATTTTAGTTCCTTGTAAGCTGCTTTTAAAGCATAGCAATTCTTTCCAGAAGCAGAAAAAGATGACCTGAATATCTTCTATGTGCCTGAAAATAATGAAATTCTGATTCTGATTTTTTTTTTTTACCATCACACAGTGGCTGACAGATAGAAGGGTGTCCCCAGTGCCAGATTTTTTCTCCTGCAGATAGCTATTTGACCACTACCTAAAAGGTGATTGCCTAAACCCACATCTTTAAATAATAACAAGTTGAAAGAGGGTTGTTTCATAGGCTTTATTGAGATACAAACAACCATGCTTTAAAAACAAATTACAGTTACTTTTGAAAGCAAAGCATGTGAAATTTATGATTAAAAATATTTTGCATAAAAAAAATATTGGTAGCTTATGCCACTGCCACTTCTAGAATGGACTGTAAGAAAAAAAACACAAAATATTAAAGTGGCCATTTCTTTTTCACAAAGTGCTTCTTTTCAAAAGTTTTATAAAATGCATTTCTTTAGCTTTAATCTAATAGGAATTAGATTAGGAATGACACTACTGTCCTTTCATGATGCTGTTTCCACTTTCTCTTCTCTGTACAGTAGTCTCTCTCTGTCTCTTTCTCAGATTATGAAGAAAAGAATATTTACATTTATAATGCAAAGCATATAGACAAATATCCCATGTATTCTTTCCCTGGAAATTTTAGAATTGTAAAGAATCAAAGCAGATAAAGCAGTTCAAAGCAGTTCAAATGTCTAGCATTTTATCAAACAATATTATTTAGAGAGAGATAATTTCATTTACATAATACCAAATAGTGGAATTTTGTGGCATAGACACAATCTCTGTCTGTCTTTTTCTCTCTTGATAAGATCTCTGATTTTAATTACTTCCTGCCAATATCTCTGAATTTTTGTATTTTCAACACTGGGAAGAAAATCTTCTGAAATACCTGGAATATTTCTGTATCCAGAAATAACACATTGGAAATCAAAAATTCTCCAATAAATGTCCTCTCTTGGTTGTATGATTACTGTTGATTATTGGACAGGGCAGCAGGAATAAACATCTTAAAGGTCAATCAATGCTGTAAATAACTGTTATAATATTGTTACCCCAAGATTTTAAGGAGCAATTTCCATTAATTTTGCTGGAATATAATTTCATATGAATGCATTGGGATAACAATTCTCTTATTTTCTGTATATTCTGCATGTTGATATAATTTCAAGTATCAAGTTAAAAAAACAAACAAAAGCAGAACTTTCAGTATCAATAATACCAGAAGGCTGTCCTTTACCAAATATCAAAAGTAATAGGCTATATTATAATAAATTCCATATATTAAAAGATGGAAAAGAATTATACAAATGTTGTTCATCATTTTATATACACAGATTAACACTAAAACATGTATACAAATTGTGTCATTTATTAATTAATTTGTCTATTGTGCCAATTAATTGGATTATATTTGTTCAATTGGTACACAAACTGCTTTCATAGATGACAGTATTTACAATGCTCAATCTACTGATATGCATTTGTATAATTCCTGTATAACTGATATTATTCCTGCAGAGCATCCATTTGGGACAGAAATGCAAGTCAGTGGTTTGGAAGCTAAACAAACACTACAAATACTTTATAGACCTATTTTAATCTCTACATAAAGCTAATGCATTTTAATGATCTCATAATAATTCCACAGGATCATTTTGAATTCAGTTTCTAATTCTTTCTAATTCCTGGTGAAATACTTATGAGTTCTGGGCCAGAATATACATCCTGTTCTTAGTTAGCAAATTGAATTGTTATATAGCAAATAGCTTACCCACATGTATACCTACATGTCATCTACACAGTTTTTCCTTAGTGAATCTGGTCAGAGAAGTTGACTTTCTTTTTCTAAATCGTGCACTACAGTGCTTTTGATATTGCCTAATGCTGATGATGGTGCCTAGTTGAGAAATAAAACATCTGCAAGCACAGAGAACATCAAGGACTCCAAAGTTCAACCTTGAGCTACAGATATTTTCTTCCATTGGAATTATATAAATTTTATCAAACAATTATATAATTCCCTCTATTTTTATAGTACAGTTCTGTACTTTTAAAATTATCTTTATATTCTGCTTTTTCTTTGGAACAATTATATAACATATACATGTTTCCCTGAAAATAAGACAGGGTCTTATTTTCTTTTGACACCCAAAATAAGCACTGAACTTATTTTTGGGGAGGGTCTTATTATTTTTGAGGTGTAGGAGATGACTAACATGGTCACCTTATGGCTGCTGCTGTGTTGCAATATTTTTAGGGAGGGCTTATTTTAGCACATGTTCAAAAGCCCAACTGGGCTTTATTATCCGGGTAGATCTTATTTCCAGGGAAATTTTCATTTTCTCCAAGCAACTTTGAAATAGATTGAGCTAAAGGTTGCTCAGAAAACCTTTGTTGGCTAAAGATGGACTGAGTCTTTCTGGTACAGTCTTATTAAACACCGTTTAATAAAAATGGCTGTCATATTATCATTCCCCTGGACCCTTATTAATACTGAAGCCTATCTTAAAAAGAGATGAGCAATTTTTGCCATTCACTGACTGATGTTGCTCTACATACTTCCTTCTTTAAAGGAGAAGTCTAGTCTAGTCATGCCCAATCACAATTAAATGTTCCCTTACATTTATAATGAGAACCTATGAAAGTTGTAATAACTATTTTTCTATTTATGAATTTATAACAAGAATGTCTTCTTGACAATGTCCTCAGTTCTAATATCCAAATATCCATTTTTATGTAAAAAGAAATGTATTTTAATGTATAGTAGATATATGATTGTTTTTTAAAAAGACTTATTTTAAAAAATCTGATACCAGATAAAAAGTGGATTATAAAGAATATGAAAAGATAATATGAATCTTAAAGAGAAAGAAATACACTTAACAGCAACTGAAGATTCTATATCTGCAGCGTTGTCCCTTGGCAGCATGATAGATACTATAGATCACACTATTGATACACAATTTAAACATGGTTGAGAAGAACAATCAAAAGACAATTGTTACTTTTTCTAACATACTTTCTCACAGAGAAATATAAATCATAGAAAATTAGAGCATGTTAACAACTATTGACATTGAAGAGGTAGGTAATAGTTTTTCTTTTATTATCTAAGTCCCAAAAATGAAATCATTGTTCAGAAATGCAAAATATCTTGCACTTAGGATGACTTCATATGTAACCACAATTTACACAAATCTTTTGCTTGGGAATCAGTATTAGTTTTCAAAGGAAAAATCATTATATGTAGCAATCTAAAGTGGTTTTACATTGTATATCTCCCTGCTATATAAGAAAATAAGTTGTATACTTGACTTCATGCATATAGAATGCATAAAAATGATTTGCAGGAATTGTGACTAATTCCTGCAAATCAGAGCAGGAAACGTATATACAGTTCATTGCATGTATCTAGTACATATGCATACTGGCAATTAAACAAGAATTAGCTCACACTATCATATTTCCCATAGTTACCTATGGCTACAAAAGTTAGACCCTAAAAAAAACTGACTTGTTCAAGCTGTGGTGTTGGAAAAGGCTCTTGCACATTCCTTATATAGTAAATGTAACAAACAAGCAAATATGGAGCATATAAAAATAAACATAGAGCCAGAATCATTTGCTTTATATATTTTGGCCAAATTCACTGGAAAATGCAATTAAGTTCAGAATCATTAGTAAAAGGAAATGAGGCTACCATAAAAACATGATTGCTAGACATAATCAAAGCCAAAACTGCCAGATCATAATACAAGTAATATATGTTATACAATGTGGAGAGATATGGTTCATATAATTGAAAATTTGACACAAACAGATAGCATCCACCATCAGCATATATGCAGGCATCCTTAAGTCTTATCTCTTCTATGCAATTAATATGTAAAATATTTGAAATACTTTCACAGTAAGATACTGGATTTGTTTTCTCCAATTCAGAGTTTCCAGATAAATGTATTGTTTCTATAGTCTTTCGTTTCCATTACCCAGAGCCAAATCAACATTGTAAAGAATAGATATTCATGATGATTGGTGCTTCATAGTGAACTATTTAGAACAGCACCAACTTTTTGATGATACATTCATGTGTGTGATTCCCCCCCCCCACTGTGTGATTATTTTTACCTTATATTTCCTGGGATATGAAATGCCATAATCCAAAATAATGAATTATACCCAGGGCTATTTTCTACATGTACTTTACTAGCAGAATTTATAGTATCCTTAAAAAGAGGAATAATTATTGCTCAATGATTTTTCATTTGTAATTAAGGCAGTGATTCTAATTATTACATTCACTGTTATTTGAACAATATGGAAATTGATGTATAGTGGCTTTATAGCGCAGTCATAAACTCAAAATAAGAGGGATAACAGTATTAGACAGCACTGCTACCCTCTCCCAGGAGATAAGAGACCAGGAGAATCAATGGAGCCAGGCTTAGTCAAGCTACGATATTATGAATATTAGTACAAAAATAAATCCTACCAATTTTAATAGATCTTATTTTAAAATTAGACCTATACTGTATTACACTACTAGACTGCAATCCTATATACTATTACAGAGACAACTGTATTGAATTCAGTCAGATTTAGTTCTGAGTAAAAATAGGTTCAAGCATTGTATTAAAACATCAGTTTAATATATAATGATTGGTCTGAAAACCATCCTACATTGATGGTATATTTTGGGAGAATAAGTTAATTTACCTATTTAAATGCAGCTGTTGAATTATGCTTCATATGACTCCTGCAAATTAACTGGTTTTATTTATCATATAATGCTGAATTTTGGTACAGAAATATTTTCTCTCAATGCAATTATCTCCAAGGTTAATATTTTTTCTCTACCAATAATTTCTGCATAAAATCATGATAAATGGGTATTGAGTCACCGCATAGATTTTTTTTCAGTTTTTGTAATAGATTTCCCCAACATCCATCCTTAGTGCATGCAGTTATGTATGTAATAATTTGATTTTAGCCGAATGGCATTTCTTCACCACTTTATATACATACTGTGTTTAAATGTAGCAAGGCAGTGAAGTGGAATGTTTGTATGTGCAAAACAAGAATCAATGTTTTCCATTTGCAGATGTTTAAGTTCATTTTTCATATTTTTAAAATCATAAAACTAAGATACAAACACAAAACCACAACAGACAACAATGCTACTCATATCTACAATGAGCATTACAGAGACATGTGACAGAGTACCTGATGATCATTCCTGAATGTCTAACTTTTTGAATTTTATCAACATTCCTGAATTGAAACCTGCAGAATTTCCCAGCAATAGTAGTGGCAGTGTGTGCTGTATGAAGAACTAGGCATTCTTTCTCCCAATGTAATCAAAGGTTATATTGAACAGAATTCTCACATTTTAAAAAGAACTATTTTCATTGCAAATAAAATAGCAAATAAGATGGTGTTCAACTAGCTGGACTGAAGGATAGGAACAAGCTTCTCTTTAAATCAAACTGCTGGTAACTCTGTTAAGGAGACTGGCAAAATGATTTGAGTCTAAGTCCTTCCACTTACTCTGTGCTCCTCTCACTATGATCTACATGGCATAAACTTGTCATTTGCCATCATAAAGGCTTTTTAAAAGTACCACCACAAATGACCTATAAAAGATATGGTATCAAAAGGACTTATGGTGGATGCTTAATACAGCAGTTAATATTCAGAAAAATGCTGTACTTGTATATATAGCTTAAGAAAAAACATTGCTTGCTGGTTGATAATTCTTGGTTCTTTGTTGCATCTTTTGTAAACACTGAAATAAATGAAATTCTAGGCAAACTTGCTGAAACAGTACAGACACTTGGAAGATAAAAGTGTACTACAAAATGTAATAATGATTTTTAACCTAACCATATACAGCAAACAATTCTTTCATCTGTGTTTCTTTCCTACATTGCTGAGACAATTCAAAGCCTCTATCAGAGTCATGCTGAGGCTTCAATGTATTCATTTTTTGGCATTGCTACCCTTAGGTATTCTGGATTCTCAGCTGGAGGAAGTTTAACAATGCCATTAGGCTTGTTGTCTCTGGGCAAAAAGTCTTGCTGGTAGTCTGGATTGTCCAGATTGATTTGGTGGTTGGTTGTCTGGTCCCAGTAGGAGGAGCTATCAAAAACTGTGTTAGCCAAAGGCGAGAAACTTGTGTTGAGATATTCTGGGTTATCCAGTGCTGTGTTATGCAGCTTTTGATGATTTGAATCATTCATAGGCTTTGGATCAATGGGAAGGGAGAAAATGCTGTAGACTGGATTTTGTACCATAGAAGCAGATGCACTTGCTTCTTTTGGGGTCACTTGCTGGTTTACATATTCTGAAATGATTTTAGAAAGAAATACAAAGCATGTATTAAGGACTGTATATATGACTCAACACGTTACCTTTATTTATTGCAAATTTCTATTGAGGCATCAATTATCGAGGCATCAATTATTATTATTATTAATGAGGCATCAATTATTCAATTAATACAGCCTTCTGGAGACAGAGATCACACTAACTTGTGCAATTACTGTATTTTAAAAATCAAATTTATATATTACAAACACCACAATCTGCAATTAATTTTATCTATTGGTAAAGATACATTTTCTTTAAAATCAATGGAGTCTCCTTCACATAGCCCTTATGAATGTTGGCATATGATGAAAGATTAGCAAAAGAAAAGGATTATAGCAGTGTTTGATAATACAAAGAGATAGCTGCACCTGGCAGGTCTATGTAAAGTCATTGAAGCAATAATGCTCTGAGAAGTCATAACACATTTCCTAGTTGCAAAAATCTTTCCTTGGGATTTTATGAGATTATTTTTGAAATCACATTTTCTTCTATTTCTGTGCTTATATGAAACTTTATATACAAAATTTATTGTCATGGACTGTTATTAATGAATCTCAGGCAGATAGGACAGGAGTTAGGAAAACAAAACTCTACAAGTCATTGAAAAACAAACAAAAGTCTAAAAGACAAAACAAAATTAACAATACATTGTTACAAGGCTTCATCAAGTAATGTTGGATAAAGGTAACAGTGCTGAGTATAAAAGATTAAATTAATATTATATCCCCCAACATAAATACGTATTTAATAAATGTATTATTTTCTTATTCTCTTTTTAAAATAATCCTTATTGGTGATTTTAATGCAATACTGGGAACAAATGACTAGATTCTGTTTGATAAATTCAGTTACTATCAAAAAGTAGATTTATGTTTCCTCTCCTTATTCAGTAGGCCAGTGGTTCCCAAACTTGGCAACTTTAAGACTTGTGGACTTCAACTCCAAGAATTCTCCAGCTAGCTCTTTTGGCTGGAGAACTCTGGGAGTTGAAGTCCACAAGTCTTAAAGTTGCCAATTTGGGAACCACTGCAGTAGGCTAATGAGAATATTAGAGATTATAATTAAGTCAAATCTCCAGGCAATGATTTATCACTACTGAAATTATAAGTGGTTAAACAATTTATGCCCATTGGGTCATCATTTTGAGACATTTCCTTACTTAAACAGAGAAACAGAATTACTATGGGTGGGCAAAAAGCAATGGTGTGACTTCCACCTTCTTATGGCTTCCCCATTGGCAGGGAAGGGAGGAAGCTGGCAAGGAACATTGAAAACCATTCTTGCTTGCTACAGCTGAACTGTCTGCCTACTCACTTTGAATTCCTTCCAGCTTTTCTGTTTACTTTACTTGTGGTAAGCTTGGAGGGTGAAAGTTAGTGAGAAAGTCAGCAAGACAACTCTGTCAGAGTGTGTACAGTGTGACTATGTGAGACAACCCAGGAACAAATACAGCAAACAGAAGTTTGTATTTAAATAGTGGCTTTATCTACAAATTATACATGCATGCATGCATACATACACACACACACACACACACACACACACACACACACACACACACAC